TCATCCCATTACTGGCAGATTAAAATGTGGCTGTGTTTGCTAACTTTCTAGTTTCATTTTTCTTTCCTCTCCACCCAGAGTATGTTGGCACTTGGAGCATGGCCAAGTTTCACTCCTGTCTCTTTCCCTAAGACATGATCTGAATCAAAATTCAGATCTGTCCTAAAACCATTTACAGGGCCAGAAATTCAGTCTTCAGAAGTACTCACCGTGAATGTCACCTTCTCCCTGAAAAAGAAAAAAAATTTAATTTACTTCCTATTTTAATTTTGGAACACACAAATAAAACAGCCACAGTTCAGAGCAGCTAACATCTATCTGAAACCAAATGTGAAATTTCCTTCTTAATGCAATCAAGTGCAGGGTTGGTCTGCAACCTTTATTCAACTTGGGACACGCTACAGAAAAATTCTGCATGATAAATTGCCCCAGTGCCAGTAACACCTAAAACACCAAAAAACCTCAACATTTACTTTGATGACCTAATACCAATTAGCATTTCAGAGGATCTTTTATCAGAATGGAAAACTGGTAAACCTGTCCTTTATTTCTCTTCTTTCTCCTTATCGAGCTGTTGAAGGGCCCCTATCAATTCCAAAGCCATTCTACAGCTCTCCCCTCACTCAGTGTGCTCTGAGATAACTAGTCAGGAGGACTTCCTACCAGACAAGGTCTTTCCAGACACACACCCTGGGGCTTGGTGGCAGTACTCACCTGCAGACACACCCAGCAGTAATGCCAGCACTACGGTTTCCTGGAGTTCAACTCAAAGCAACATTTGCAAACAACTAAAACAGTCCTTGAACTCAGAAATACCACTATGTATGAGATACACAGGAAGTGAATGTGAACTGGAAGTTCCAAAAACCAATACTAAAGGATGAAACACTAATCCCAATAGTAAAAGAGACACGTGAACAGATCCAGATCAAAGCTAACTCACTTTTCTGACTTATTTATCAATCTTCCATCCCCAACATGGCACAGTCCCTTTCCTAATTGCCTCTATGTTAAACTCCAGTGGCAGACCTGAAACTCTTAAGTAAAAAATAGGAAGTTTAATTTCGGAATCATATTGACCTCAAAGCCTTTCCTTCCTCATGTCACACTGACCTTCAGATCTAAGAAGTCTCCAGAGTTTGCTTCAGAAGAGTTCCTTCTCTGCGGCCCAGATGACTCCAAGTCTTCTCTGCCACCACTAGACTTGGCACCTAAAAATCAAAATACAGTAGAAAGACCTAAAGCAAAACACTTTTTTAGCAAGTGACATTATGTGTTAGTCTCATATGACAAAATGAGGAAACGGTCTTAAGGAAGTTAAGCTGATGGCTTAAACCTTCTATAGAGAGACCCAAAAACCCAATCTGACTTCAGTCCTTATTCTGACCTTATCCCATAGACTCTCGGTATTTCCCACTTCTTTCCTCTCACGTTAAGCTTGAACCGTGGTTTGTTTCATTACCATTTGTTGCTCCGTAAATTAATATAACTATATTAGAGACATAAATGGTGCCAGGAGTTTTGCAGAGCTTTGCCCTGAAGGAATATGTGAACGTGTTAGTTTGCATATCGAAAGCTGTTCCACCTCAGGAGGGCATCTCAAAGATCAGTAGTGGCTGTTTCCCAGGCTGGCGCCGGGATCCTCAGCACCT